GTTGCTACTGAGATACTAACTTGCTTCCCTACAACGAAGCAGAAAACCCCGCGACTGTACGATTGGCTGCTTCGTTCAGTCAGCCACAGGGAAGCTTCACAATGCTGACAATTCACGGCTTCCTCTAACGGCTTCTGGCGTTACTGGAAAGCTGTGAGCCTCCTCAGAAGCTCACAAAGGGGTCACCTGGCAAGCGTGACTTCCACTCCCGGAGTAACTTTGTATCGCAAGGCAAGTGCGGATATTTACCTACACATTCTGCCATAAATAGCAGCCCCTTTGGGGTTCCGCAGCTGCAGGTGCGAACGGCACGTCACTCTGGAAACGACGCCCCGAAAGAAGAGCTCGTTTACTTGGAGGCACCACCGGCGTCAGCTGCACACTGTAGGCACCCCCAACCCCCCCCAGAGTGTACTCCTTCCACAGAGATTTTACAGTGCACTGAATTAACTGGGGTAAACCGCCCTGAGCACCACGTCAGTAGGGAAGAGCAGTTAAGGAATCGAATTTAATAATAATTTAAAAAGAGAGAGAGAGAGAGGGAGAGGGAGAGACGTCAAGAACAAGATGGCATTTCAGGTCCTGCATGACAGCCCCCCCCCCCCCCCAGGTCACAGGTCCTGATTTTGCTTACCTCAAGCAGCAGCAGAGTCTCCTGTTCTGTCCATTCTCGCCCAGCGCTGGCGCTTTTGCTCTGTGGAAGGAAAGAGGAGGCCGTTCACTTCTCTCCACCCCAACGCACAGCCGAGTTAGGCGGCTCCTGTCCCCAGGCTGTACACATCACAGACCTGGACCAGCACACCAGAGCTGAAGGAACACCTACTTGCTAAGTTATTAAAACGTTTCCTTCCCACCTTTCCTCGTGGCTCAGGGCTAGCTACTACCAGGGCCGGGGCCTTTTCAGTGGCGGTCCCTACCTGGTGGAACGAGCTCCTGGAGATCAGGGCCCTGCGGCATTTCTCACAGTTCCGCAGAGCCTGCGAGACGGAGCTCTTCCGCCAGGCATTTAATTAGGGGCCGCCGCTGTCGTAGAGCCCTAGCTCACTGTTTTAACACCGAGCCGATGCCATAAGAAATTATGAGCAGAAGAACATCTGAGAAGCGGAAATTTATTTTGAAAACGAGCCACCTAAGTTAATCTTTTAACTGCCGCCAGCACTTTGTGTTTGTAATTGTTTTATCTGTTGTGTTTTAAGTAATTGTCTGATTTTAACTGTATTCATGCTTGTATGGAAGCCGCCCTGAGCCTGCTTTGCAGGGAGGGCAGGATATAAATCTGATAAATAAATAAATAAACAATAGTTAACAATAGTTGTAGTTAACAACAATAAAATGGCAAACACTGAAATCTCCCCCCCCCCAAAGATGCCTGCCAATCTAACCCCCCCCCCCAAAGCCCTGGCAAACAGGCGGACCTGGCAGCGCTTCCTGGAGACCTCCAAGGAGCCCCCCCACCTCTTCAGGGAGCCCCTCCCACAGAGCTGGAGCCACGATGGAAAAGGCCCAGGCTCTGGGCGATGCCAGACGGGCCACCCTAAGTGATGGGATACCCAAGTGATGGCTGCCTGACAACCGTCATCAGTGTACAGAGGTATACAGAGACAAAGAAACATATAGCTGGAAGGGATACTAAAGGTCATCTAGCCCAACCCCTTACACAAGGAAGGAGATTCACAGCCACCTCCACCACTCCCCCCCCCCCAGTGACCCCTGCTGTATGCCCAGAGGCAGGTAAAAGAACTTCAGGATCCCTGGGTCAATTTGGCCTGGGGAAAATTCCTTCCTGTCATGGGTCCTGGATCCACTGAGGCTGACTATTCCTCAGATAAGGAAGAGGCATGGAGTAACCCAGCCCCCTCTGGAGTCAGCCCAGAAGAGAAAACTTTACCAGCACCTGAGGGAGAAGAGGCCCCAGCAGCTGCACAGGCGGGCCAGCAAGGCGAAGAGACTGAGGTGCAGCCCGAGGGAGAGACTGATCCAGAGCCTGGCCCAGCACCCCCAGTTGGAGACACCCGGGGGCCAGAGTCCCCACCTAGCTCACGTGAATGTCCCCGGCGCAGGGCACACCAGAGTCTGGATGTGCAAGAGAGGAGGAGGAGTGCTGGACTGCAGCTGTTGCACAGGCAATGTGAGGGGCTGTGAGTATTTGCAGATTGACTCCCAGGGAAGGGAGGATTTGGTCATTACCAACCCCGCCCACCTGCCTCAGTGCGGAAGCAACTGTGCTTTCTCGGACCTAGCCCCGGCCGACAGCCTCCACTCCTGGCTCCTGAAAACTCTGACTGATTTCCTGGCTTTCTGACCTTCGGCTCTGTTTCTCAGCTTGCTTTTGGACTGTGTATCCAGCTTTCAGTGAAGGGTATCCATGTCGACCGGCCAGACCTAGTACACTTCCTGACCCCCAATGTGGCAATCAGTATTTACCCTGGGCATGTAAGGACGGACCACAAGAGGGCGAACACTGGCTCATCCCTTCCTGCCCTCCCCCTCGCCATCTGCCTAAATCCACGGTGAGTCAACTGGGAAGGATGGGGCCCTTCAGAATGAAGCCATGGGCCCCTGGGTCTCTTGCAGTGCTTCTGGGGGTGCAGAACAATATTTGGGGCTGTCCTGCTCGGAGCGGAGGCAGGGACCTCCTCTTGGAATCCAGGCTTGCTGAGCAGACAAACTGACTGGAGTTCCAAGATAAGAAGCCGGTACAGGCAACCACTCCGTACAGATGCATTTCCTTTCTACTGATTCAAAGAGTCGGTTACCACCAGAGGACAGACGCCTGGTGCACAGCTGACCCAAGAAGGAGAGGTTACTGCACCAAAGGGCAGGAAGGACCACGGGGGGAACCTCCAGCGACACGGCACGCGAGGCAAGGGGGCCTCGATCCAGCCAACACAGATTAACCAGGACCTCATTCTCTCTAACCAGGCGGTGACAGAAACGAGCACATTGCCACAACCCTCCCGAGGAATGCAAGGAAGGGCTCCAGACAAAGTCAGCTAACGGCAAGGTAGTGAGGAGAAGGCAAACAAACATGACCAGCTGCCGATCCTCCTGGTCCAACGTAGGACTATTCCAAATAGTGACAAATGTCCCAGCGGTTTTGGCAGGCATTTCCAAAATAGTGAGCTCTCGTGTCAAATAATCATTACAAGCGCTCTGACCTGGGTAGCCCAGGCAAGCCCAAGCTCGTCAGGTCTTGGAAGCTAAGCAGGGTCGACCCTGGCAAGTACTTGGACAGGAGACCTCCTTGGAATACTAGCAGTCGGGAGCAGTGTTCCCTCTAAGCTGAGTTGGTGTGAGCTTTTCTTGTTGTTCAGTCGCAGTCGAGTCCGACTCTTTGCAACCCCATGGACCACATCACGCCAGGCCTTCCTGTCTTCTGTCGTGCTCAGTTGCCTCGATAACACTGTCTGACCATCTCATCCTCTGCCGTCCCCTTCCTCTTTGACCCTCAATCTTTTCCAGCATCAGGGTCTTCTGCAATGAGTGCTCCCTTCTCATTTGGTGGCCAAAGTATTTGAGCTTCAGCTTCAGTATCTGGCCTTCCAGGGAACAGTCAGGGTTGATTTCTCTTAGGATCGACTGATTGGATCTCCTTGCAGTCCAAAGTGTGAGCTAGCTCACAGTTTTTTAGCCTCTGGCTCACACATTTTTGTCTTAGCTCAGGAAGGATGACTACAGAGGAAACTAATTTATGCAGTAGCCAAATTGCTCATTCACAACTCTAATGCCAGTAGCTTACAAAGTAGAATTTTTGCTCACAGGACTCCACAGCTTAGAGGGAACATTGGTCGGGAGGCGGCAGCAAGCTTTATTCAGCCACCTCTCTGAATATCCTCCAGGCCCCCAGTAGGGGTCAGTCACCGTGACTTCCAGGTGCACACATACACATATGAAAAATACAGAGAAGAATCATTGCATGCCTCGAAACCAGCAGCAATACAGAAAGCCAGATGCCAAAGACAGGTTTCTCTGTGGGAGTTATATTCCACCTTACTCAGCGTTTTCAGCTCCTACCTACACAGGCACTGGGTAACAGCTGTTCCGAACCAAATACGAAAGGCTTCAGAATTTGAATATGCAGACGCTCAAAACAGTGCCCACTACACAAGTCTTGGAGAAAGAATGGGCCTAAATGTTTCTCAGCAAACAACGAGAAGCAGCCTCTGCTCAAGAAAATCTTGTTCAAATGTAAATTATTTTTTTTCTGGGGGAGGAAACCATCTGCCTTACCTTTGCTAATGTTTTCTTTGAGTATATATCTGTGCGAAGCCCAAAGTTTTGCAGATCAGTAGGTTTTTCCTTGTTTTTCTCAGGGAAATTCAACATCTGTTGAGCAGCTGGGATCTATGTAAAGAAAGGCAAAGTGACCAGAACAGGAAAGAACCTATGAAAGTATCATGAACGGACATAATTACAAATACAATATATCAACATTACTAAGATTATAATGCTGAATGCTGGAAGCTTGCTAGGGATACTCTAGGACCACGTTTCTCCCAATTTGCCAGGCAACGAGCACAAACTCTCTTACATCAGCCATCAGAAACCACCTTTTATATCCTAACCATAAAATGGCTTGGAATTTCAATGGGTACCACTATCCAGTGCTCCCTCTGAGTTAGTGCGAGCTAGCTCACAGTTTTTTAACCTCCAGCACACACATTTTTGTCTTAGCTTACTCAGGAAGGAGGGCTCCGGAGCAAAGAAGAAGAAGAGATTGGATTTATACCCCGCCCTTTACTACCCAGAGGAGTCTCAGAGCGGTTTAGAATCTCCTTTCCCTCCCTCTCCCCGCAACAGACACCCTGTGAGGTAGCTGGGGCTGAGAGAGCTCTGACAGAAAATGCTCTTTTTCAAGAACAGCTCTTCCCAGAACTACGGCTTGCCCAAGGTCATCCAGCCAGGTGCAAGTGGAGGAGTGGGGAATCAAACCCGGATCTTACAGTTTGGTGTCGTGGTTAAGTGCGTGGACTCTAATCTGGGAGAAGTGGAGGAGTGGGGAATCAAACCCGGTTCTCCCAGATTAGAGTCTGTGCACTTAACCATGACACCTGCCCACCCCTGTACCAGACATGATGGACCAGAGATGATGTACAAGGGCTGCCAGGCCACTGGTCTACCCTGTCCAGTCCATCCTGGTTGGTACTGGCGCTCCAAGAGACCTAATGGTAATGAAAGGAATGGGAAACAGTCACAGTAAACTAAATAAATCAGACCCGAAGGAAACTGGAATAGTGCGCTAAATGTCTATATAGTACAGTATGTAGTTCAATGTTCGCAGTATATCAAAAGTGTACAAAAATAATTTTAGCAATCATCATGGTCGAATTCATGGTTGTGAATGATGTTGCCCGTTCAGAATGCACTGTGATAAACATGACTACTACAGACTGAAAGTCTTTGAAGAAGAGTCGACTATCCAGACACCGTTTGATGTATCAGTAACAAGACATTGTTGTTTAGAGGAAGTTCCAATGAAACGACACATCATTCCAGAGAACATCGTTCACAACCATGAATTCGACCATGATGACTGCTAAAATTATTTTTGTGAACTTCTGATATACTGCGAACATTGAATTACATACTGTACTATATAGGCATTTAGCGCACTACTTCAGTTTCCTTCGGGTCTGATTTGTTCAGTCTCCAAGAGACCCAGGCGGAACACATTCCTAGCCCTGCTACTTAAGATCCTCTCTCAGCTGGAAACACCAGAAATCGAACCTGGAACCCTTCCAGACTCAGCTACGACTCTTCCGCGTATGGCTACACGTGTCTGGAACCGTGACTGGTAAAAGCACCCAAATGTGCAGAGAGGTAAGTTTCTTCTCAAGAGCTTCCAGGTGGTCCCATATAGAGCTGGCTGGAGCTACAGGAACTTCTCATCAAATGAACCTCCGGACTGCAGGCAGGACTGGAACTTCCGGACTGCAGAGATTCATCAGAAGAAAGAACCCTGCCGGGGTCCAAAGAGGATGCTGCACAGATTGGGCAGTTACAAGCGATGACGACTTGGGGATCTTTACCTGAGGCACGCGAAGATGAAGTGGCATAAGCCCCGAAGGGGTGTCGGCGAGCACGTTGAAATGCGGGGTGGGAGGAGGGCCCATGGCCATGGGCCGGCTTTCGGGGTCCACTTGGTAATTAATGAGTCCCCACTGCTCCAGGAAGGCGTGCACTCTAGAAGGCAACAGCACAACAAAGGGGGAAACGGACTGATGAAGGGCAACAAGAACAGACCGGCAGACGGAGGTGTGTAAAAAGACAAGGAAGCTGGCAAACGAGTCCTGCAGAAAACCCTATAGTCTTATACGCAAGGCGAAGCGACAGATTTCCCACAAAATCAGAACAGCACCATTTCCCTAGACTTAATGAAGCAGACTAATAAATTTTTGCAATAACACACATCTGCAGGAAAACAATTAAGAGTCCTAATAATGTATTCTTGGTGCTTGGGGGGCAACAGTGGGAGGGCTTTCTGGAGTACTTCTGGCCCTGCCGGGTTAACGGCTAACGGTGCATGCCTACAGAATCCACCTCTCTGTACATGTAAACTGAGAGGGTATTTCTGATGCGGTCCACTTTTTAAGCCATAAATTAACCCCCCCCCCCCCCCCCCCCCCCACGCTTGTCAGGCAGAAAGATTTTCATCTTGAACGATTACTGCTCTGAAGACGCATTTTCCAGCAGGCTTACCTCATTACTGCACAAACATCCCCTGTCAAGTTCCTTCGGCAGGCAGTGCTGGTCAGGTACTCTTGAGGGTTCAAGCGATAGGTATCGATCATGAAATTGCGGTAAGCTAAGAATCTGGAAAGAAATCCACAGACATGTTATGGAGGGGCTTCCCTGCCATGGGCCGCCTGAGAAACATTCGCAAACTCTGTACAGGTTCTCTGAATCCTCCATCCGTCCAATGCAACCTGAGTCAGATTGAGGTGACGAGAGAGGAGGTCCTACGACTGCTAGACAACTTAAAAACTGATAAATCACCAGGCCCGGATGGCATACATCCGAGAGTTCTGAAAGAACTCAGATGTGAACTTGTGGATCTCCTGACAAAAATATGTAATCTTTCCTTAAAATCTGCCTCCATTCCTGAAGACTGGAAGGTAGCTAATGTCACTCCCATCTTTAAAAAGGGTTCCAGAGGAGATCCGGGAAATTACAGGCCAGTCAGTCTGACTTCGATACCGGGTAAGTTGGTGGAAACCATTATTAAGAATTAATAGGCACATAGATGAACAAAAACTATTGTGGAAGACTCAGCATGGGTTCTGTAAGGGAAGATCTTGTCTCAAAAACCTGTTAGTGTTCTTTGAGGGAGTGAACAAACATGTGGACAAGGGGAACCCAATAGATGTTGTTTACCTTGACTTCCAGAAAGCTTTTGATAAAGTTCCTCATCAAAGGCTCCTAAATAAGCTCAATAGTTATGGGATAAAAGGACAAGTCCTTTTGTGGATCAAAAACTGGCTGATTAATAGGAAACAGAGAGTGAGTATAAATGGGCAATTTTCTCAGTGGAAGGTGGTAGGCAGTGGGGTAGCGCAGGGATCAATACTCGGTCCGATGCTTTTTAACTTATTTATTAATGATTTGGAGTTGGGAGTAAGCAGTGAAGTGGCTAAATTTGCAGATGACACAAAGTTGTTCAGGGTGGTAGAACCAGGGAAGATTGTGAGGCACTCCAAAGGGATCTGTCAAGGATGGGCGAGTGGGCGTCAACGTGGCGAATGGGGTTCAATGTGGCCAAGTGCAAAGTGATGCACATTGGAGCAAAAAATCCTAACTATAAATACACCTTGATGGGGTCTGAACTGGCAGAGACTGAACAAGAGAGAGATCTTGGAGTCGCAGTAGATAACTCACTAAAAATGTCCAGACAGTGTGTGACTGCAATAAAGAAGGCCAATGCTATGCTGGGGATTATTAGGAAGGGAATTGGAAACAAATCAGCCAGTATCATCATGCCCCTGTATAAATCGATGGTACGTCCTCATTTGGAGTACTGTGTACAGTTCTGGTCACCACACCTCAAAAAGGATATTGTAGCAAGGATATTGTAGCGTTGGAAAAAAATGCAGAAAAGGACAACTATAATGATCAAAGGGTTGGAACACTTTCCCTATGAAGAAAGGTTAAAGCGCTTGGGGCTCTTTAGCTTGGAGAAACCACGGCTGAGGGGTGACATGTTTGAGGTTTATAAGATTATGCTTGGGATAGAGCAGGTCGAGAAAGAAGTACTTTTCTCTCTTTCTCACAATACAAGAACTCGGGGGCACTCCATGAAATTGCTGAGCGGTCGGGTTAGAACGGATAAAAGGAAGTACTTCTTCACCCAAAGAGTGATTAACAGATGGAATTCACTGCCACAGAAGGTGGTGGCGGCTACAAGCATGGATGGCTTCAAGAGGGAACTGGATAAGCATAAGGAGCAGAGGTCCATCAGTGGCTCTTAAACTCAAGGTATAGATAGGAACTCTTGGTCTGGGGCAAGGGATGCTCTGTATTCTTGGTGCTGGGGGAGGCAACAGTGGGAGGGCTTCTCTAGTGTCCTGGCCCCACTGCTGGACCTCCCGAAGGTACCTGGTATTTTTTGCCACTGTGTAACATAGAGTGCTGGACCAGGTGGGCCACTGGCCTGATCCGACATGGGCTTCTCTTATGGTCTTATGTTCTTATAGGAACTCTCAGGCTGGGGCAAGGGATGCTCTGTATTCTTGGTGCTGGGGGAGGCAACAGTGGGAGGGCTTCTCTAGTGTCCTGGCCCCACTGCTGGACCTCTTGATGGCCCCTGGTATTTTTGGCCACTGTGTGACAGACAGAGTGTTGGACTGGGTGGGCCACTGGCCTGATCCAACACTGGCTTCTCTGATGTTCTTATGGATAAACATATGGGGCAGAGGTCCATCAGTGGCTATGAGCCACCACGTATAGATAAAAACTCTAGGGCTGGGGCAAGGGATGCTCTGTATTCTTGGTGCTTGGGGGGGCAACAGTGGGAGGGCTTCTAATGTCCTGGCCCCACTACTGGACCTCCTGATGGACCCTGGTGTTTTTGGCCACTGTGTGTCAGAGTGTTGGACTGGATGGGCCTTTGGCCTGATCCAACATTGGCCTCTCTTATGTTCTTATGATCTAGAGGTTCCTCCTTCTCCACTCAGTGCCATGCCCAGCTCGCCTTTCTGACAGTGGCCTCCTCCCGATTCAAGCGGGGGACACGCTGGATTTGCCTCTCTGGCTCCCGGCAGCACTGAATAGAAGTCCAGTCGCCCATTTCAGGCGCCAAAGCAGCAAGCCCTGTCGCAGCAAGAGGATCAGCAGGAGCACCCTGGGCCAACCGAATAATGGCACTTCCAAAAAAAAAAAAAACCCTGGCGAAACCCAAAGGACTGAATGGCCCAAGCCCCTCTCTAAAGGTTACCTGGCAGGACCCAGGCTGAGAGGCACTTTAGCTTTGACATCTTCTCATCAAAATCATGCCATAGCAAGTTAGGATGCTAGGTTTCCTTCCTTCCTTCCTTCCTTCCATCCTTCCTTCCTTCCTTCCGTAAGTTAATCACTTTATTACATCATCACAACTGGGAATCCAGACAAGACGCAATTTATGCTAGATGGGAAGGCTGGTGTTCTAGTGGAACAGGCTTCATTTATGATGGATGGAGCAGAGCTGGCATTTGCGAAAACAGATTTAGAGCTTTAAGGGTGCTCACGGACCCAGCCTAGCTGTTTGAAAAGCAGGCTGGTACAGTGGCCCTCAGATGCATCTGGTCTGCCAACTCTGTCCTGTCTTAAGACTCCCACCAATCTGGCCACACTGGTCCACACTTCTGTAACCTCATCGCTGGATTACTGTAACACGCTCTACGTTGGGCTGCCCTTGAAGAAAACTTCGAAACTGCAGCAAGTCCAGAATGCGGCAGGCCGGCTATTACCAAGGGCTAGCTGACATATCTTGCCCATTTTGAAACAGCTGCACTGGCTGCCAGTTTGTTTCCAAATTAATGTCAAGGTGATGGTTGTGCTGTGAAGCCCGTCACTCCGTGGGGCCTGCGTTTCTAAAGGGCCCTCTCCTCCCATAAATTCTATGTGCCAACTATGGACTTCAGGCCACCAAAGTGTGCTGGATCTGAACTCTTCAATGGAAGAACCTTCTTTGCGTCTTCATTCGCCATTACTTGATACTTAGTTGAAAAACCTACCCACGTTCCTATTTATACCTTAGTTAAAAGTGATGTAAAAGGCCGCACACTTCCAACTTTCCCTCTGAGAGCTGCTAAGCACATTAGTGTATCTTCTGACAAACCCTGGACTTAAAAGCAAGGACAAAAGCACTTATTTCAAGGTCAAAAGCACTAACAGCACAGGATATTGTCTCAGTGCTTACTATTTACACCCTTGGTTCAGCCAGATGCTGAACTGGTTTATCAGTAAAACAGAAAAGTGAGAAAATACTAAACACCCTCTAGCAACGTAGACTATTAGACTTGGCAGGAGTTATATTGCGTGTACATCGTTAAATGCAGAGTAAGGTAAAAAGTAATGACCACTGGATAATACTTTAAGGTTGGTGACGAAGAAACTGAAATTGTTCAAGATTTTCTATTCCTTGGCTCCATCATCAACCAAAAGGGAGACTGCGACCAAGAAGTCAGATTGAGATTGGGAAGTGCAGCCAGGAAGGAACTAGGAAAGATCCTTAAAGATGTGTTGCTGGTGATCCAGATCAAGATAATTAATGCCATAGTATTCCGCATTACTACGGTATGTAAGGGTGTGGAAGCTGAACAATGAAGAAAGCCGAGAGGAAGAAAGTAGATTCACATTTGAAATGTGGTGTTGGAAGAGAGTTTTACGGATACCATGGACCGCCAAAAAGACAGACCAGTGGGTATATTGCATACCCTGCAGTTGTGGACAGGTTTATATCGGGACCACACAGCTTAGCATTCAGAAAAGAACATGAAAGACACTGCAGACTGGGCCAAACTGAAAAATCAGCAGTGGCTGAACATAGCCTAACTCAAACAGGACACACTATCTTATTCCAAGACACTGAAAGGCTGCACGACACACCCGATTACCATGTCAGATTACACAGGGAAGCCATTGAAATTCACAAACATAAACACAATTTCAACAGGAAAGAAGAGAGTTTAAAAAGAAATAGGGCATGGTTTCCTGTCCTGAAAAACACAAAATGCACTACATCTTACAACAGCAGTACAGATAAGATTAGAATTTCAACAGCCAATCCATATGCAAAAGAACCTCCTCAGGAAAGCTCCTCCATTAGCATGTTCCACAGCCTGGGAAACTCCTACAAGAGAATGACTCAGCCCTACCCCACCTTCCTGAGTAGATATAAATTACCCTTCCTACCACCCTCGAGGATCCTTTTCTGCATGGGACAGATGTGCTCATCTGTGTTAGAAACTAAGCCAAGAGCCATTATGCATGAGATGCACTAGCAAAACACCAATGCTTTGGTCCGCTGATCACAGGGAAAAGGAAGTTAAGGATTAATTCCCCAAGGCACAAGTTAGCAGCTGCCTGCTATCTTCTTGGGTGTCCTTTCTCATCAAGAGGGCCCGTAGCTTTGGTCACGGTCCCACCGTCTGAAAAAGCAAGTGTATCTGTTCAGTGGTGCCTCGCATACAGACTTCCAAGGAGGGGCCCTTTGATTCAGAAGAAGAACTAGCCAACTCCCCCGTACAAGGAAGCATAAAAAGGTTTTGCACAAGGAGAGCCCTGGACCGCTGGGGCACCATCCTTATTACATATGCAGGTTTTTCTTGGTTCACAAA